CCTTGATCATCCTCCCTTTGCTCCGTCTTTCAAGGGAATTTATTGCAAGACGTTATGGGCTAACCCCGAAATGAGGGAGGGACTACTCGCGAGGTTGGCATGATCCAGGTTAGTGACGAGCAATTGTGGCTTTCTTATCGAAGCAGTTTCCAAACAGGAAAGAACCACCACATTGTGCCTTAGTCTCACAAAACACTCTTCGGAGCGGAGAAGTAGCAGATAAATAACTCCGAAACTAGAATGAACCTAGATGTTTATGGGTTAAGAGAATATCTTTAGAGTTACTATGCTCCACAGTGTATAACACCTACATGTTTCATTTTAAGTAAGACTTCTTCAATTTCCATCACAAGTATTCATCAGACTTGTCGTAAAGCCATCACATATTTGTTGATGCTAGTCACATAGGAAGTATGGAAGCATTGAAGGAGATAGGGGGGCAGTCATTGCCTTCTCCAAGATTGATAAATTTTTTGGTATCCAATCTTCAAAAATTCATGTAAAACAACCAACAATTACTGCTCACCCCCCCCCCCTCCTTAGTATTTTTTATAAGAGAAAGGTATATCTTTTGTCCCTCAACTTCAAAAACGGATAACTTGCACCCTAAAATACTGAAATCGAACAAGGTTCATCCCTGGACTCGGTTTTGACCGGTTTTAGTGCTAACTCACCCCGATTTTGACCGTGTTAACTAAAATTCGCATAATTATTTCAAATCCGTGAACATGTTTGAAGTGCACGTAATTTTTCAAATCCATTTAATTTTTCGAAGTTCACATAACATTTCAAAATTCACGTACATTTTCCAAACCTGTGTTTTTTAATAATTCGTGTACTTTTTTCAATCCATGTATTTCTTGCAAGTTCCTGTAATTTTTTCTAATTCACGTACTTTTCCAAATTTGTGAACTTTAAAAATTTCACGTTCTTTTCCCATGTACGCATTTTTTTTTCAAATTCATGTACATTTTTAGTTTTCATGTATGTTATTTAGAAAAAGTTCCTGAATTTGAAAAAATCACGAAGTTGGAAAAGGTAGGTGGTTCCAAAAAGAAGTACGCGGACATGAAAAAAGTACTCGAGCTTGAAAAAAAACGCAAATTTTGAAAAAGATAATGGATTTGAAAAAAGTATGCCGATTTGTAAATATTCATGAACTTGAAAAAAGTACGTGAATTTCAAAAAAATCACGAATCTGAAAAAAAGTACGGGACCTTGAAGAAAGTACGTGGATTTGCAAAAAAAATACTTGAATTTTTAAAAAGTTCACGGATTTGAAAAGAGGACGTGAATTTGAGTCAAGACTGCTCAAAACCGGGGTGAGTCTGCACTAAAACCGGTCAAAACTGAGAACAGGGACAAACTTTTTCCGGTTTCAGTTGTTGAGGGTGCAAGTTGTCCGATTTCAGAGTTAGGGGATCATACTAGACTCCGCCAAAATGTAAGGAACGAAAATTATACTTTTCTCTTTTGATAAACTTAAGTGTGAGATGACTCTTTGAATATGTGGCGAGAATAGGCTTTTACTCTCGGCGACCAGCCTTGTAATACTTGATTTATTTTTTTATCAGTGAGATGAAGCAAAGCTTTTGTCTTCGTTTAGAAAATCTTTGATCTGCGGTGACATGCTTATCTTAGTACTCCCTCCGTCCGAAAATACTTGTCATCAAAAATATTTCCGGACGGAGGGAGTACTAAGGATGATTATTTGTTAGTAGCACTATGTATGCCAACGGGCCTCCCTCCCTGTGCTGTAAAAGGAAATTTCCCCGTGTGAAACTGATGGCTTTTGGGGACAAGAAGAATGTGAGGCAGGTCGTGTGAGGAGACGCCCAAAGTTGACCAGCTCGAGCAGGTAGACAATGAGAAGCAACACGTCAGCGAACCTCTCAACATATATCATTGTTTGAACGTGTAGAGGTGATGTGTTGGTCCGTCCCCACCGACGACTTGACTTCACAGGAGAATTGATCAATCAGACGAATCAAACTTTGGGTAGGTACACAAGATTATTAGAATGGTGCTACTCTAAGCGAGCAACTCTATGACAAATTAGAGAATTGTATTGAATAACATACAGATGTTCAATCTGAATGAAATGAAGAAAAAAAGAACCACCACCTTATACTTCGTCGTAAAAATCAGCGCACCAAAAGATTGACAGTGCCAAAAAACTGTAAATTTCACTCGTCCAAGCTAAAGGAAGACAAAAAAAAGCCGACAGGAGAGAATAGTTAGAGTTGGTTTTTGTGCTAGCTTAGGAGTTTGTATCGTGAGAAAAAGAGTCAATTACACCGATGGTGCTAGAACTTGGAGCAAACGACCACTTTGGTGCTAGAACTTATGGCATACATTGAACTGGTCCAATAACTTGGCTTAGACGTGCAAATACGGTGCAAATCACGTCCGGATACAAAATCAACACTGACTTGGCGCGTCAACGTGGCATGGGGCCCGCTATCAGCGACTAGAAAGCTAAGAGGAGCGTGTGTGGCCTTTTTTTTGCGAATACCCCCTTGATTTCATAAAAAAAAGTCCATGTCTACGTGTCAGTTGGCTTTTTATTTTTTTTCACCCTATGACACATGGGTCCCACCTGCAGTACAGGAAAATTAAACTGAAAAATTATGGCCTCCACATCTCGATCACAGACGACGTACAGCAAGACTGAATGTGGTCATGGCCAATACGCCACTCGCGTTATGCTTACTTAATTATGTTATGTCCATAACAGCCCTTAATGTAGTACTCTCTCCGTTCCAAAATAAATGACTTAATGTAAAATACTAAGTTTAATATAAAATTAGGTCATCTATTTTTGAATGGAGGAAGTATAAGCAAGACGCCTGTGGAGCCTAAATGGGTTTCAAATAGTGCGCCCATTTACCACGTACTAGTTATTTTAACATATTTGTAAAAGTAAGTAATCCTAAAAAATGTAAAAGTAGGTAATAATAATAATGTTCAAATATTCGTGTGTTACATATATTATAATTTTTCTGTGGGAATATAAATATTATACATAAAGATGATGATTAGTAAATAAAAAGTTTTAAATATACACTCATGTATTGTATGAAAATGTTTAGTAAGTACGGAAATTTCAAAAGTTTATTAAATAATCATGTTTAATGAATAATAAAACAATTATACACATGCAGCTTATATTTAAATTAACAAAATGATGAATACAAACATTTACAAAATATTCATTTGTGTATAATTTTCACTCGTGAATTATGTTCATAAAAGATCTATAATTTACATAGTAGCCACGATTCAATATTCATATGAACATTTTAAAATTTAAATTATGAATATTTTTTGTTATACAAATGTTCAACTATACATATGTGCGTGTAATTATTAAAGCGTTTGTAATTATATTTTTGTGTATGTAATTTATTATGAAAAAATAATTAAATTTTAAATTATGAATATTAATTTTGTATTGTTTTAAATTATATAAACATTTTTATGATTCATAAATATTGTTTTATATATATGAATGTTTTGAAAATAATACGTGCTCGAGGACGCGGAGACGGGCTCGGCCGT